GAAGCTGGCAAATCTCTCTTTCATGGGACCACCACCAAGTAGCACAGTAGATGTAATTTAAACCATACCAGACTAAACAATGAAAATGCTTATATCTGCAGTTATTATTTAAGCAATGATACCAAAATTAGTGCAGTCTTTGCATTATGATGAAGCCTAAATCTGCAAGATAAATCTAGAATTGATCATTAATAATTTCCCCAATGCCTTTGACAAAAAACATAATTTGAAAACTGATAAAAATCCAAAAGCTAATATACCATCAAAAATGCTTTGGCTACTAACACTGACTATACCTGGCAAAAACTGAATCTAAAGGGCATGTTATGAACCTTTTTTCGTTCATCTTGAGAAAAAGTCTTTGTCAACAAGTGTTTTTGCTGCCTAGAAAGTATCCAAGAAGCTTGAAGTCTAGGTAATGACTTACACACACCTCATACACAATTTAGAAAGGTTTATTCACAACTAACAAATTTTTGTAATTCCATTATGTTTCCTATAGTACCCACAACATGAGCATGTTGGGTATGTTGCAAGCACTTAAGGAAGATTGATAATATATGAGAACAATGCAATTAAAATGAAAGGCATTTAATAAAAAGGTCTAGAGATGAACTTTAACTGAAACTTTGGGTTCGGACTCAAGTTCTGAACTATTTATTTCAAGTGTATGGCAAAATGTCAAAGCAAACTCTCTGATCCACATGCTATCAAATTTGATGGTTTAAAGCACAGACCTTAATCTGAACTTTCTCAGATTTCTTTGTGCTTGGACTTGACCCATCACTATAAAGATGATATAGCAACTCTTATCAGTCAGGTGGCGTGTGCATTTATACTCAAAGCAAGACTAGAAGGGAAGTAGGACAAGGAGGGAAGGGGAATTAAACTTTAAAAATAAAACATGCTATTAAGCTGGTTTCTTATCATCACTCTGATCCTATATCTTTATGTATGATGCCCTTTATCTGTTTCTGACTTTGTAAGAGAGTCTTCATTCTTTGGACAGCACAACTGTTTTTTCATCTGTGTTTAGAAACCACCTGTCCATACCATTGGTAGCACCACAATCTAAGAAGGAAATGGAAGCAAAACCTTTTCATTCAGGGTGTAACAAACATTAATTACATCAATGGAGGGATGGACATAAGTAAGGGCTGCAAACACAAGCATTTGCAGAATCAGACTGTTTTTCTTCCTCAGTCATGTAACCACTGGCTGTCTTTAATTTCATTATAATTTATCGCTTGTTTTCTCATTGTAACCTGTAAATTATTTCTGTTCATTTTCTCATAGCTGTAGTCTTTACAAGTTAAACCTACTGATACTTCCTAGATAAACCAGTGCCCTCCTCAAACTGGAATATTTAGAAAAATAATATTAGAGTTCAGTAAGACCAGAGTTCAATTTTTTGAAAGTCTAGTGTAACTACAAATTCTATCTATGCCCTCTAGTGGATGATATCAGTGTTAGATCACCAGACAGGGAGCAGGTTAGTAGGACTGCACAAATGCCCTGAGAAAGTTATGTACTTCATCTACAGCAGTGCTTGACAAGTGGAAAGAAGTTGGCAAAGCCATGGATCTTTGCAAAGGAATTATTTTTTCCAACACTCTTTTGTCTCATACCAGTAATATGTAGCATTATAAGTTCCTACCCACTTTTCAAACTTCGATTTACTGGATAAAAGTACGTGGATTTACATTTCATGGATAGGACTGCATAGAACCAAAAGTTTCCACTTTCAAGAGAAATTTAAAGATCAGTTCTAGGGTTGCCAGGCTGAATCAACATGGCTGTAAGTTTTGAGAATATGCTTGTGTATGTGTATGCATTTATGGAATAATGATGCAAAGGCATCAGCGTTTTACTTTTATTTTGAAAATAATACCCCAAAATTGAGCTAAACTGGCTGTCAGCAGATAAACAAACTTTTTTTTTTCTTGGACGCAGCT